AGAACGATACAAGGAAGAAAGGAAGGATACAAGGAAGGAAGGAAAGAATGATACAAGGAAGAAAGGAAGGATACAAGGAAGAAAGGAAGGATACATGTAAGGAAGAATAGAACGATACAAGGAAGAAAGGAAGGATACACGTAAGGAAGGAAAGAAGGATACAAGGAAGAAAGGAAGGATACAAGGAAGAAAGGAAGGAGACGTGTAAGGAAGGAAAGAACGATACAAGGAAGAAAGGAAGGAGACAAGGAAGAAAGGAAGGAGACAAGGAAGGAAGGAAGGAGACAAGGAAGGAAGCCAAAAAAAAGGGGAGAAACAAAGCAAACAAAGCCAGATGAAAGAAGGGAAATGAAGGAGAGGAGGAACAGAGAGGGAGAGGATCCCCCCTCCCTGTCTAAAGCATGGTGAGGGTGGCTGGTGATGGTGGTAACGCAGAGCATCCTGACCCGCCCTGTTATCAGGTCCAGAGCTGAAGCTCGGTCCAAACTGGGTCAGAGGCAGCTGCAGTGTTTCAGGTCGGCGTTAAACTGAACTCACCCCAGATCCATCCAGATCTGCTTGCACTCCAGGTCGGGATCCAAGCCGGCGTCAGAATTCCCACCAAAGTAGGTGACGTAGAGCCGTTCGATGGGAATCCCAAACTCCTGGGTCAGCAGCTCCAGAGCCATCTTACAGGCCAGATGCTGAGGAGGACAGCAACCATCACTGAGGTGAAAACCAGTTTAAGAACTAAAGACAGACAGACAGAGGACACTATGTACCTTAAAGTAGTCCCCGAAGGACCAGGAGCCCAGCATCTCAAAGAAGGTGTGGTGGTAGACGTCCTTCCCCACGTCGTCCAGGTCGTTGTGTTTTCCTCCTGCTCGGATGCATTTCTGTGTGTTGGCGGCCCGCCGCAGCTTGGCCATGGGGTGAGACGGGTCGATGGTGTTCAGGAAGATGGGCTTGAACTAAAGGAGACGACAGGAAGCAGAACCTGAGCGCCGCTCAAACCGCTGAAGGTCAGGCCTGAGCAGGAAGGCTGGATGCAACTTTGGATCCTACCTGGTTCATGCCGGCGTTGGCGAAAAGCAGCGTGGGGTCGTCCAGAGGGATGGTGGACGAGGAGTGGACATAGTGATGCTCATAGCGGATGAAGAAGTCGATGAACTTCTGGCGAATTTGAGCTGCAGTCAAAGACGAGTCCATCCTGGATTAGCTCTCTGAGGAACAAGCAGAAGGTTTTTAGGGAGGAACCTCAGCAGGTGGGGGGTGTTTCTAAACATATCATCTACTAGTAGTTTGCTTAAAGCAGGTGCTCTCTCTCATCGTTCAGTAAACCAGGTTCATTGGATGAATGAGGCAACATCTGAATGCTCTGCTCTTCTTCTCTGGTGTTTTAATGTCAGACGTCTTAAAAACAAAGAGAGGAACTCTGCTTTTTCTCTGCGGCTCACTTTCAGGGTGTGCATCCCGACCTTCAGTCGTCTCGTTTGTTCGCTGTGACATCAGCTGTCAGAAGCTCGGTGATCCTGTCAGACAGCCGAGTTTAAAACGCTGCGCCCTTCGTTCAGCAGCGCCACACCCTGGAAATTACCCACAAGTCCTCTTTGTTTTGAAGTTTTCTGGGCCATAAACTGTTTGATAAATGACTTTTTACTAATTCATTACACTTTTAAGAAAAATAAAATGAAGCGTTTATTTTATTCCATTTTCAACCAATTAGATAAAAGAGTTATTCAAATGTTTTGGGTTAATTAAAATGTATCGGAGAAGCATAAAGTATTTGCAGCATAAAGCATGCTGTGAAAAATGAAAAAAAGGAGCAGAGATGAAATCATCCAGGGAGAAAATCTGTACAGGAAACCCCAAAGCAGGTCCCATCTGCTCCGCAGGGCCGAGGAGAGGATGGAAAACAGCCCGCTGTCCCCATCCTGACTACAGGGACCTGTGTTTATGATGGGCGGAAACATCGGCCCGCTGTGGTTTACTGCAGGATGTCAGAACGCACCAGGGAGACAGCAAGGAGGAGCAGCAGGACAACAAGGGAACATTTTTAATCCAGAAATGATTCCTGTTCATCGTTTCCATTCAGAGATCAGCCTAACATGTGCAGCAGATCTGACCGCTGCACATGTTAGGCTGAAAAACCCACCGTCACATGGATACCAAATGTCTGATGTAAACATGAAGCCTGAACAGGCGGAATAATAACAACGAGAACAAGGCAATAAAAACAACTTCAAATCTGAGTTCAATCTTCTTCCTTCCTTTTTTGGTTTTCCAGACGTCTTAACGTTCACACAGCTTCACCTGCATCAGCCCTGATTTTATTTCTAATAAAGACCACTGTTAAAGATAAGGCTCCATCTCTGTGGTTCTTTTCCTGAAAACAGATCACTGGGGACAAAATCTTTAAATAACACTTCATAACTTATATGTATTAAATAATCTGGAGACATGACAACAGATTCTGATAGAAACTGTAATCTTACTCAGATCAGAAACACCAAACCCTCAGAAATCAAAAGTAAATCATAAATCCACTAAAGCTGAATAGGTCTGGAGTTTAACAGAGCAAAAGGGTTTAAATACTAAAAGGCCAAAAAAAAAGACCTTTCCAGTTGTTTACTTCCGGGGTTTATAGACTTTATCTTTCTAACGTGAAATAAAAGCTTTTTTTATCAGCTTAGTGATGTTGAAGCTGAAAAAATACTGAAAAGGAGAAATAAAGCAAGACTTACTGAGGTCTTCAATTTAGGCTACATTTCTTGCTTACTGTATAAAACATGGGACAGTTTTCCTAATTATTCCAGCAGCATTTCTCAAAACTGGGATTAATTATCGTGTAATTAAAGAAATTGACGCCTCCTCTGTGGAAACTATACATGAAGCTTATTTTAATTTCAAAATAAAGGCTCCATTTCTACCTTGTTTCTGGTATTTTCACCACAGTTTCATTATTTTCTTCCCCTCTACAAGAAGAATGTGGTAAATTAGATTAACCATAAAAGAAGAAGAGGAAAGCCGATAGAAAATTTGTTTCATTTGTTTTTTCCGACAAATCTCTAACTCGAAGATGAATAATTTGTCCTGACGTTTGCAAGCTAGCATGGTAGCTAGCCTAGCAGGCTAACTTCATTTTTTAGGGTAAATTCGGGAATTAGACGAGAAATTATCAAAGACAGCCTGATTAAACCATCAGTTTCTGAGCGTGGATGTTCTCCTAACTCACAGACAGTCCGGTAATACTCACGGTAGTCACTGTTGTCACGGAATGAATCGGTTAAAGCTTCCAGAATCACCGCCTTGATCCACGCCGCTTGGCCAAAAGGGAAACCTGCGACTACGAACACGCCCATGGAGGCCGCCCATTGGCCAGAGCGCAACATGACGCATTCAATGATGGACTCTGATTGGTCCAGGCTGGTGTCAGTTCTATTCCTACCCGCCACATCAATGCTACAAACTGCAGCGGCTCGGCTGATGCAACGGAGGCGCAGGTGTCGCTTCTGCGCCTCACTCACAAAACAGGTTTATTCATTTGTTTAAAGTTAAAAACAATTATTTTACCTCATATTTCTCTATTTTGTTTCATAGGTTTTGTGTCTGTGACATATTTTAATTTAAGTAACATTTTGAGGCGGAAAGAAAAACAAAACTAGAATTTATTTGTAAAATCTTTATTTTCTTATCATTTATTGTGACTAGTTCAGATACAGTTGGAGCATGATTACAAAGCTGCTGATGTTCTTAGTGTGCTTATTTATAATTCATGGATTGAACTTCATAAAATGTTATTTTTATGGTTTAATTACATTTTAAAATTATTCTAAAATGTATTTATTTTTAGAAGCAATATTCTTATTTCATGCTAAAAACAATCATGTTTTATTTTTCTTTGGCTCCTATTATTTTTCTCTCTCTTCACGACAGCAAGGCAACAATTAAAGAAAATTAGTGAAGAGGCTAAAACCCAAAAGATCTGAAAAGGAAGAGAAACTCATGTTTAAACAAAAACTTTGTTTCCAAAGACAAATGAGAATCTGTGAGTTGATCAAGTAAATTATTTGATCTGATGCAGGATAATAACTGTATTATAACATTGTGCAGGTGTTGAATTTGACTTTTAGAGAAACTATTAGTACAACCGATATCTGTCACATCTACCGGACATTTCTCTTCCATAAAATCTCTCTTTCTTACAATAGGCCTACCAAGGATGGAGCATCATTATCTACAGTATATGCTTCTCATCTTCTTAGAGCTAGAACTCAAATATAGCTGAACTGTGACTTCAAAGTTATCTAAATAATTAATTCTGTTCAATTCCTTTATTCTTATTTTGGTCATTAGAACAAATTTATCAACTTAAGTACACTGCATGTGACCAAGGATTTAGGCAGAAGTAAAACATATATAGCTTATAAATTTTATATTTCTCATTTCAAAATTTCCAACATTATAATTGCTTATATCCAGCAGATGCTGATGAACAATACTAAACAAAATAGTGAAATGTTTATATGTTGAGACTTGTTCTTATCTTTTATTAGAGTTTATACATTATTGTAAATTGTCAGTGCAACTTCCAATTAATATGATTAGTCATTTAATCGTAAAACTTTTTTCTTAAATCAGTTCTTTTAATTGTCATTGTTGAATTCAGTTTCAATTTAATTCAGTTTATTGAATTTAATTATAAATTATACACATTTACTACAGTTCAGTGTCAGTAACCCTCCTTATACTATGCTTACTCAATATATATACCATTCATATAATGTTCCATTCCTTCCATCCACAGTAACAATCCTATAATTTGTTGGTTCCATCATATAGTCGTAAAAAAATAAGTAATAATAAAAAAAAGAAGAAAAAAAAGAATATGTAACAACAATTTTGGGGGCATAAATACTTTTGCAAAGCACTGAATGACAAAACATCTAAACTAAAAATGAGGAAAACAAAAAAGTTAATTGGAATGTTTAAAAGGTCATTAATGAGAATTAAATGAACACTAAAATGATTGATAAGCAAAGTCTTTGAAGGATGGCATGTTTTGATATAGTTTAATTGTTGAAAATAAGTATTATCAATGTAAGAGAAAATAACAACAACATTTGAAATTAATACTAAATAAACAAACATTTATATTTATAAAAGGGGCATCCGGAACCTTCGCTTCTTGCTCTTGTCCACCGGGGACCGTTTATCCGAGCGGTCCACTTAGAGTCATGCCGACCGACACGAAGCGAGTTCGCGGGCCTGAGGTGTCTCAGAACCCGTCCCTGTTCTGGTCCCGACCTGCAGAGGCTCTGCCCTCTCACGGACGCAGGGCGGACGGTCGGCAGCGGGACCAGGTGGACGTCCGGCCGGTGTTTGTCCGGTGCGGCCTGGTGAGTCAGGCTAAAGGTTCCGCTTACATGGAGGCTGGGAACACCAAGGTGCTGTGCTGCGTTTACGGACCGCGGGAGACTGAGCGGAAAGATGAGACCGACATGAAGTCTGGAAGGTGAGTCTGTTTTTAAACCCTGTCTGTCATCAGAGCAGAAGTGGAGTAAAAGTGGAGCAGAGGTGGTTCCGTTTGAATGTTCTGCGTTGGTTTGGGTTTAAGGAAGGTTCTTTCTTTGGAGCTTCAGCTTCCTGCGTTCACATTCAACCCGTGGATCTTTTTTTTTTTGTTATTACAATGTAACAAATACAGAGCAACGACATGTACTCTGCATATTAACCCATCCCATTGGGGAGCAGTGGGCTGCCATTGTGCGGCGCCCGGAAGCAGTAAGGGGTTAAGGGGTTTTGCTGAGGAACCAAGGATCTGTTCTAATCTATGAGAAAACTTTACCTTTTCCAATGAGTCGCTTTAATAAAAAAAAACATTTTATGGTTGGATGAGCCTTTGGAATCTTCTCTGCTTTATCGAGAAGGAAATGTGTCTCACTTGGACTTAATTTCTTTCACTACATGCAGGTTCTCCTTTTATTATTGAGAGGATTCTGCGCCTCTACCAGCAGAAACACCTTAACCACAGTAAACCATGGTGGAGGCTGCATAATGCTGTGGTCTCAACATTTTTCAAATGCAGCTGGAATTTTGATTAAAAGGGATGAAATTAAGAGTAGTTTTCAAAATCTGAAGGTGGACTTTTTTCCTCTCTGCATCTTTGATAAACTCAAGAATAAAACTGCAGCTCGCTGAATGACCAAAGCTACCTCTAAGCACCAGTTTGGATCTTTTTGGGTGTAGGTTCATTTTTCTCATGAGCTATTCCTTCCATCTGATTTCTGGGTCCCAGTTTTAGGTGGGTTGGTGGTGCCTACAGGTGAATTGATGGTGCGTTCAGGTGGGTTGGTGGTGCGTATAGGTGGGTTGGTGGTGCGTACAGGTGGGTTGGTGGTGCGTTCAGGTGGGTTGGTGGTGCGT